CCAACAAAAATCTGATGTCTGGATGCGCGGCGCCAACATTGAAACGGGTGGGGGGAGGGAGGGTGGAAAATATGTATCAGCAAATGGTATATTACAACCGAATGCATGTGAAAATTAGATTGTCCCAATCTATATTGTCAAAGATTGTAGATATAGATATAGATATATGGATAGATATATATATAGATAGATACATATACTGTCTACTAGGGCAAGTACTGCCATTTATATAGGTTATGGGGTAAATATCAAGATTTCGTTGGCATCTCACTCGATTGAATAATAGTTAATTAATAGGTTATTGTGGATGGAAATTATCACGTGGAAATTTACATACATTTATCCTTGATATTTACCCATAACCTATCCCGTAATATCCCCTTTATCCATAATATAAAATATTGATACTTTACCCACAACCTATAAATGACATTACCCTAGTCTAACTTGAATGTACAGCGCTATTGTGGTATAGGAAAAAGCGCTATAGAAATGCATTATATGTTATGATATGATATGATATGATATGATATGTTTTGTTATGTTTTGGTTTGGTTTGTTTTGTTTTGTTTTGTTTTGTTTTGTTTTGTTTTGTTTTGTTATGTTTTGTTTTGTTTTGTTTTGTTATGTTTTGTTTTGTTTTGTTTTGTTTTGTTATGTTATGTTATGTTATGTTATGTTATGTTATGTTATGTTATGTTATGTTATGTTATGTTATGTTATGTTATGTTATGTTATGTTTTGTTTTGTTTTGTTTTGTTTTGTTTTGTTTTGTTTTGTTTTGTTTTGTTTTGTTTTGTTTTGTTATGTTATGTTATGTTATGTTATGTTATGTTATGTTTTGTTTTGTTTTGTTTTGTTATGTTATGTTATGTTATGTTATGTTATATTATGTTATGTTATGTTATGTTATGTTATGTTATGTTATGTTATGTTATGTTATATTATATTATATTATATTATATTATATTATATTATATTATATTATATTATATTATATTATTATATACATGAACATGCTCGACAACAGGCCTCTGTAGCTCAGTTGGTTAGAGCGCTGCATCGGAATCGCAGGGCCGCAGATTCGATTCCTGCCGAGGTCAACTAAATGTATATAAATTTCCACTTGATAATTTCCATCTACAATAACCTTCAAGTATTAATCGATCGAGTGAGTTAGGATACACACATGCAGTTCAGAAAGTAATATCACAATTGTTCTGAAGATGAAATAGTCTAGGCTAAGTATATAATTAGGTAACCGTATAATTTATTTATTTATATAATTATTTATTAATAATCCAAACATTTGGTTTTTCAGATTAATTTACATGATTGTACAATTATATATATAAATTATTCTATTATATACCGGGTGGCGCAAAGAAAAGTACAACTGTTTGATTACTTGTAACTCAGAAACAATAAGCAGTAGAACCATAAATCGAGTTTAATTGCATCCAGCGCTATCTAACTTAAATTTTGGTATATTTGACAGGCATATTCGTCCAAGATTAACTGAGATATAAGAGTTTAAACTTTTGTTAACAATTTTGAAGCGGTCACAAATTAGCTAAAAATCAGTTTAATAGGCCGTTTTTAGCTAATTTGTGACCGTTTCAAATTTGCTAACAAAAGTTTAAACACTCATATCTCAGTCAATCTTGGACGAAAATGCCTGTCGAGTATACCAAAATTTAAGTTAGACATCGCTGGATGCAATGAAACTCGATTTTGGGTTCTACTGCTTATGGTCTTTGAGCTATATGCAATCAAACAGTTATACTTTTTTTTGCGCCACCCGGTATAAACATTAAATATACATAGAAATAGTTAAAATAGAAAATTATCTATTTTCAATAAAAGCTTTTTTAAATAGATATGTTTTAAGATTTGATTTAAAATGAGTTAACTGTTCTATGTCCCTAATCTTGGCTGGAAGGCTGTTCCATAATGTTTGCGCAGCAACCACAGGGACCGCGGAGTCATTTTTTGGGGGGAGGGGGGGGGGCTAGCGAACGCGTGAGCCTTCTTGGGGGGTCCGGGGTCATGCTTCCCCGGGAAATTTTGAAATCTGAGACCTCTCAGAGCCCCAGAAATGCAATAAAACCTGCTAGTTTCTCTTAAAAAGTTTCTTGAATGACTCTTAAGCAAGGCATTATATAAGAGTAAAAATCCATACTTATCGTCCTTACTTTTCTCAGAAATGTTTTTCTGGAAAGTGCGAGCCTACTAATACATAAGAAGAAAATAATAAATGGAAACAAACAAGGAATAACGTAACGTTTTTAAAAAGTCTGATAGTCCAAAGGAATTATAGTCCAAAAGTCTGACTAATTCTACTGGATTTCTTTAAAGACGGGTTACAGTCCGTGCTGCGCATGTGCGATTCTTTTTGTTTTGGTAGACTACTTATCTCTTGTTTCCATGGTTTCCAGTCCGATTGCGTAATATACGCGCGATTCTATATTTGTTGATACAAGGAGTGGGAATACACAGTTTCGAAGAGATTTTCAACGATTTGTGACTTTTATGAAGTGAAATCCGATTAATAACAAATCATTGAAACAATATGAGAAGAAGGAAAGAATATTACGCCAACAAGGATGCCTTTAAAGTGTGTTTATTTGAAATTTAGTCAAGGGCTTCGCCATGTCGTACATATAAAGGTAAATATTTGTTTATACATTTGATTATTTCGTTCTCCTGAGTCGAGACTGGATCTCTAATTCGCTGTGAATTTGTGACAATTTTTAAGCTAGGGCAATTACATTCATTTACTGTCTGAGAAAATGTGGGATCTCTGAGTTTTATAGTTCAATTTGTTCAAGACATGTATAGTAGTTTTAAATATAGTACTTGAAATCTAATTTATCACCTCAGGCTCAGTACTAGATTCAGTTAAGGATAAAACTGATTTCATCTTTATATGGTGAGCTGTTATCAAAATGCTACTGGGATTGAGTTATTGGATGATTATTGTTTTGTAATTCATAATCAGGCATCTCCAGATGAACTTTTTGGTAGCAGCATATATTTTTGTACATCGGACATGATTGTACTGTATGTTGGTTTTCACATGGGACCCGGCCAGTCCTGCTGACCATACATTCAATCATTGTTGTATCACTACTGCACTGGACAAAAATGTACTATGTTGAATGACATGGCATGATTGTTTGTGAACCTTCAAAAAATGCATAGTGTAATCTTTATAAAGGGTATATAATACCCCATGTAAATCTTTTTTTTTGGAAACATTGATACTGTAGGTTCTCATTCATGGAAAAATTGAGGACAATTTGCACATCACCACCACCATATTCATGGCTACACCTACCAAAATCTGGACTGCTGCAACTGTAGACATTTGTGTTCCCCATGCCGACAGGAAGAAAATATGTGCTCTGTTAGATCAAGATAACATTGTATATGTAGAATACTGTTGTTCCAAGAAATTGTTTTGAGTCAGATGTTCTAAACATTGCCATTAGTCCTTACTCGCACTAGCAATTTTCTTGGCAAATTTCTTCTCATGATACATGTAGGAACATTAATGAAAATACAATAGTAACTGTATTTTCTGTTGACATTTATTTGAAAAACATCATGATCACAGTCCTGAAGAAAGTTGCTAGTGTGAACAATAGTTACAACACAAATTTTGTAGAAAGTTGCTGGTGTGAACCACATCTTGGCAGTATTTGTTGCACGGCATCAATTAGCCACCCAGACAAAAGTGTTATTACTGTTATACCTAGTTGTTGTAAAAAATTCAATATATAGCATATTGCTTTATATCACACTAATGATCAGATGTTCATACTTTACTACAATATAATATAATAAAATGCAATACATGTAATATCATTCATCGTTAAACATCTAATGAAACTCCCAAAACAAAGCAGATGTAAGGATTAGAGAATTTTCCCCCTGACTATGTTACATGATGGTAATGTTATCTCCACCAAAACTATCAGTATTTATATCTCAATGTTGGCCAGATAACTATTTTAGCCAGAATGTTAAAACTGCTATACTACATTTTTGTTCACATGGCATGAAACATGTTGCTTGAAATCAGTTATCATATATCCATACAAAAAGATAATGAAATATATAAAGTAGCTACAGGAAATAGAACTAGAAAACATTTTATAGGTGGCTATTTAAGGACATAATTTTCTGACTCTCAACCAGCACTGGATAATATTCTCAAGTCAATCAAACTATTCTCAACTCAATCAAATTATTCCAACTCATAAACAATACTTGTGCTCTTATGTAATGTGAATTGTTATTATAAGGCAATACATTCTTCCATCTTTGTTTCATCCAGCATCCAATCTGTATTGTTTCTTCTATATTTATTCCTCTCTTTAAATTTGTTTCTGATTGGTTATTAACCACTATATGGTTGTTATAACCACCATGTTTATTCGATGTTAGTGTGTACAATCGGTAACGTTTCCATGAGCTCAAGGTAACCTATAGTACAGCATAATAGAAATTTTATTCAGTATGTTCAATCATGTCATGTAAAAAATTCAATATATTCTGCTATCAGAAAGTTCATCTGGAGATGGCCTGATTTATGAATTACAGAACAATCATCCAAAAGCTCAATCCCAGTTGCATTTTGATAACAGCTCGCCATATAAAGATGAAATCAGTTTTATCCTTGACTGAATTAAGCTATAGTACTGAGCCGAGGTGAAGTACTACAAATATACATCAATACATGTCTCGAACAAGTTGAATTATAAACTCAGAGATCTCATCTTTTCTCAGACAGTAAATGAATAAAATTGCCCTAGCTTAAAAATTGTCACAAATTCACAGCGAATTAGAGATCCAGTCTCGACTCTGGAGAACGAAATAATCAAATGTATAAAACAAATATTTACCTTTATATGACAGTATAACTTCGACATGGCGAAACGCTTGACAGAATTTCAAATAAACACACTTTAAAGGCATCCTTGTTGGCGTAATATTCTTTCTTTCTTCTCATATTGTTTCAATTATTTGTTATTAATCGGATTTCACTTCATAAAAGTCACAAATCGTTGAAAATCTCTTCGAAACTGTGTATTCCCACTCCTTGTATCAACAAATATAGAATCGCACGTATATTATGCAATCGAACTGGAAACCATGGAAACGAGAGATAAGTAGTCTACCAAAACAAAAGGAATCGCACATGCGCAGCACTGACTGTAACCCGTCTTTAATTAAAGCTAGATTACAGTCGCTTCTGCGCATGTGTCAAAAATGTAAACAAATGTGAGCACACTTGTTTTGATTTTGTGTGCTCTCCAGTCCTTATTCGGATATGCGCGCTCAAAATGGCCGACTCGTAAGAGTTATATAATAGAGCCGTCCACTTCAAAGGCAAATTCTTCTAATGCTGGTCGCCAAAACCAACCAGGAAATCGAAAAGAACATTTCGCGAAAAGGTATGCAACGAAAATGTACTTTAATGATACTATTGGTCGGTGAAATCATTTCAAAACTGAAGCTGGAATTAAGGCAGCGTTTACACTGTAGCGTTCTCGTATTGTTCTTAATCCTCAAGGGAACGCAAGACAATAGTCTAGTTCTCTCGAACAATACGAGAACGCTACGAAAACGGTACAGTGTAAACACTGCCTAAAAGTGACGAGGGTTCGCGAATACTATGCTGATCGAGCCTGTATACGAAACATCAAGACGGATTTAATTGTGGTAAGCACATAACACATATCCCTGGATATTTCAGTTATGTTAATGCTGTTATATTTCCTCATTACAAAATTTTATTGTTCACTTATAGCGCTGTGGAAACCCAGATAGATCAGTAGCCAGATGAAACAATACAATGCAGACATGAGCCATTGTCAGTATATGTTCAGCAATGGGAAGAAACAGCAATGGAGCCATATAAAGATTCTTAAAGATTCTCCTAGGCAGTACGAATACATCCTACAACTTATAATGAAGGTATGTATAACATTTTATGCTTTCCTGAATCCTAGTGAGAAAAAAGTGACTTTTAGTTTTCACTTTTCATTATGAAATTCCATATTCTTCATATCACATTTTCAAACAAATATTTTGATCGTTCTGTAGGCATGTTGATTGACGTGTTTTAAGAGTACTTAAGGCTTTTTGGAAAGCCAAATTTTGATTTGCATGAACATTATTAACAAAATCAAAATATGGCTTGAAAAAAGCCATTTGAGTGTTTTTAAAACACATTGGTCAGCAGCATTTAAACAGGAATAAAACTAATTATAAGTCTTCTTTAGATATGTGGAATGGTGTTGCAAGTGATTACCGAAGGCAAATCGCTCCTAACATAACCCCTGTCCCTCCTCCTGCAGTCAAAGAACTTGTTGAAACCCATCAGTATAAATTCAACTGATCACTGTAGACAAGTGTCTGCCAGTTAAAACAAAGTGCTCTGTTAGGTGGAGCTCATAATCCCTGAAAGGCAATCCACCTAGGAGAAGGAAATCTGATTACAAACCCCTGGACCCCAATACTGAGCCAGTGTGTCCATATTGGATTCATTGATCTTCGGTGCACAGCAATACACTTTTCAGGACTGAAGTAAGGAGCAAGGAGTAATTTTAAAGAATAAAAAAATCAATGTCAATATACAAAATGTTGTGCTTGAACATCCAATGTATTTGATAACTGGTCTTTTATATAATGAAATATTACTGTTCATAAACATTTAACCATTAACATGATAAAGGCTTTCATTTGTTAGCAAAATTTGCTGTGGTTAGTAGACAGAGAAAGCT